GAAGAGCAGGACGGCTAACTGAAGCAGAAGCTCTCATTGAAAATGTACCTGTGAAATTAGATACGGCAATTTGGAAAGCCCTTCTTGCTACTTGTAGGATCCACCACGACAACAAACTTAGCCAGAGAGTGGCTGAAAGGGTTTTCAAAACAGAGACGCAAAGATCCGGAACCTATGTTTTATTATCAAATATGTATGCATCTCAAGGTATGTGGGAGAAAGTAAGGGAAATAAGGGAGTTGATGAAAGACAATGGAGTTGTCAAAGAACCCGCCATTACCTGGATTCAGATCAAGAATAAGGTGCATTGTTTTCGAATGGGGGATAAGGCACATTTTTACTTTGAAGATATCAACACAAAACTGAATGACTTGTACCAGAGCTTCAAAGCAACAGGTTAAGTACCATATACAAACTTTGTTCTTCACGACGTCGAAGAGGAGCAGAAATAGGATGAGCTTCTCTACCACAGTAAGAAGCTTGCGGTTGTGTATGGGATCATGCACACACCAGATTGAACTCCAATTCAAATTTTGAAGAACCTCCGAATATGTGGGGACAGTCACTCGTTTATGAAATTCGGCTCCATAATTTCCCAGCGCAAGATTTATACAAGATGGAAACAGATTCCACCATTTTCAAGATGGTTTTTGTTCCTGTGGGGATTATTGGTGATGTTGGACGATCAGAAATCTTGGTTCTAACTGAACATGAGACATTGTATGAATAAGAGGAACCAGTTAATGAAGCAAAACCGTTGGCTCTTGTATAAACTCCAGTCGGATCTTTCTTATTATTGGCATGGTACTATCTTGATGAAATTTCAGAAGTGCATAATTCTGCTATTTAATCAATAGTTACACCTATTAATGCGTATGATTTATGATTAAGAATCAAGGACTTAATTTCGTGTTTATAAAATTCAGGGGAACATGCATAAAGAAGCGTATTCCCTTTTGGATATAACCGAGTGAGGGATAAGCTTCTTGTTTGTTGTGACATGTCCCTGTTGTTGTGTCTTAAAGCATAGAATGTTGATAATATAACATGATGAGTGCAAATCAAGAATCCATATAGAATATTAAAAACTGAGGAAATAATGCCATGAACACTCTCTTCTTGAATAATAAAGGAGGTCAACTCGGAAATACCAGCAAACGAATGCAGAAGTAATTCCCTGCTAGACAGTCGACTAAGCGTCTAAGCCTTAATTATAACTTAATTACAACTGCGTGCGATGAAAAAAGCGTGGTCTGAATTATTTTTTATTTTAATTCCAATTATAACTTACACATTGTCACAAGGAGTATAGAACTATTCTTTTCCCTATAAACGATTTATCTCCGACACAGAGCAACCTTTTGGTATTCCTCTAAGCAAAAAGGGTAAAAGAAACATAGGAAAAAAGTATAAAATTAAATAAAAAAAAAATGTGTTGAACAATGGGGATGGTCCTCGTGATATTTCCAGCCATTTTCATTTCACCCCCTAGAAAAAATTGCCACTGTTGGAAACAGCTCAGGCATTAACTTCCCTGGATGACCTCAGCCAATTTCATTTGCCGTTCTTCTGATCAGAAAAGTTTTTAGCCCATGACTTTCTACCAATGATCACCAAATTAATAACCCTTATAACACTGTGAAGAAGGTCATTTATATTCGCTTTTGAGGCTATAAACGTTTCCAACTACTCCAACAATGCTGACTACTACAGCCATTATTAGCATCAACCGCGAAAGAAGCTTCTGTACGAGGCTCAAACTCTCCCCTTTCCGACTCAATCTCAACGCAATGAGAGAAGGAAATATAAAGCCCAACGACACGGCTGCGGTTGCCCCTGTAAATTTAAAAGCCGTCCAAATGTTTGGAATCACGGTGGATCCTAAATAAATTAGTGCCAACAGAACAATTGTCAAAACTAATGACCTCTTCCTACTCTCAGACAAAGGAGCAGAGCCCTCTAACACCAAAGCATTAATTGTTTGCCTTAATGAGAAATGGATAACTGGAAAAAACAAGAACCAAATGAAGAATGTACCCGAACCGACGATATAATTCAAGGCCGAACTGAATCGAATCCTGAGATCTTTATCGAAGTTGGTCAGCACATCAGCCTCTGTATCATTCCCAAAGAGGAGATAACCAGACATGGCTGTTGAAGTATAAACCACAATGCAAAAAACAGTGGTGATCCTACCCACACGGTTCATCTTCTGAGGAGACCGGTCTTCAAGCTCGTTGTAAATAGGCTGAACTTTGAAGTGGCAAACATAAGCATTGGTCATGATGGGAATCACCACAAGCAAGTCCAAGATGGCCTCTTAGGGCCCGAAATCTGGGCTCAGCACCGTTTAATTTAATGATTTAAATTTTTAATTTGAGTTAAAAGATATAATTTTATATGAAAATTTTATTATAATAAAAAAAATTAAATATAAATATTTTTGAGATTTTTTTATTTTTTTATTATAATAAAATTTAAATTTTAAATTCGATGAAATTAAATATTATTAATGATCGCAACAACGCAAGCAACCACAACAAAGACTAAGGCAAGAGCTACTGAAGCAGCTGAAGTCAAGCTCAGAGAATCAATCCTCTCCAACGCGCAAAGTGGTGTGAGAAAAACCACCGAAATGACCAGAATCAGAAGCTTCCTGTGATCGAATACTCCAAGATGGCGGATCGAACCCGACATGACATCTCTCATGATGATCAGATAAACCACCAAAACGGCTGCGTTGTTCACGATTATATAGATCTCCGACAAGACTCTCGCCGGTCATCCAAACGCGCATTGAGCGACCTCGCCGTTAGATCTCGCCTTACACAGAACCGAAAATCTCACCAACAACTCGACGCTAATCTCTGACAAAATCCCCATCAGAATTATCAACAAAAACCCCAAAACCAACCCAAGTATCTTCATTGTCGCCGGTAAGGCCATAATCCCGGCACCGATGATCGACGTCGAGAGATTGAAAACTGAGCTGGAGATTCCAGAGTCATGGTTAGACCTAGAATCGCCAACAGTTAGGGGATATTATCTACATGAAAATCGAGACCGTCGTCGAAATCATGCCCATTCGCATTCTTCGAATTCAGATATCTCTCCACTTTGGAAGGAAGGAACTTGGGTGGGGATCTAGGTTTTCGAGGATCGTTCTTTACCCGCAATTCCAGATATGACGTTTTGGGAATGGCTGAATAATTACTGTCCATTGAAGGAGATTAGATCAATTGCAGATCTCAAAAGGCCAATATGCATGAGAAATTTTACACAGAAAAGATGGGAATTTATGATTGGGAAAAGAGAGAGCTTGAGGGATTTTCAGGTCTCTGTGCGATGTTCAATTGGGGGAAAAAGAAAATCCCAGACCCAACGTCAAGTGGAGACTAATTAATTCGTTAATTTAAATTGAGATGTAATTTTATATAAAAAAAATTTATTATAATAAAAAAATTAAATATAATTATTTTTTAAAATTTTTTATTATAATACAATTTAAATTGTAAATTTAAAAATAAATTCTTCTCTCTCCCTCTTCCACAATAGTCACTGTAGAGAGAGAAAGGTTTTCCTAATAAGATTTTCCTATTGGTCAATTTTATGCTCATCCCTTCTACTGCTGCTGATTTGGAATTTTTATGGTCGCCACGTCATCCATGAACATTCTAACTCGTGACGTGGCTTATCGGATAAGATTTCTTTTCGCAGATGGAGAAGTATTTGCAGCCAAGAGTCGAACGTGTCGTAAAAGAAAAGTTTAGTCGATAAAAGATGTCATGACCGTGCTTATATAAATCATTTTTTGGAGCAGTATTAAACGTCTGGACGAACTTTGGCCCCACCACATGTCACGCATCTAGATCAAACACCTTGATAAGTGAGACATTTTGCCTTATAATAAGATCAATCACGATTGAACTATCAAAATGTCTTCCAAAAATAAGTCACAATCGTATTGATCCCACCCTATCAAAATAAGTCTTTCAAAAATGATGTTCATCTCATGGAGAAAAAATTCCGTTACTCATAAAATTGTAGATCCTCTTATCTATTTAATGAGATTTATTTTATGTGAATAGTGAAATTTTAACGTCTTATTAAATGAGTTTAATGTGAGGTCTACTCTTTATGAGAGGGTCAGCTCACAACTTTAAGAAATTGAATGGACATTTTTCATATCTTTGAATGTTTATGATATGCTTTATTTTATATGTTGTTATGGCTTGTTTATTGTTTTGTTTTCTATCTCTTGGGTTAGGTTTTTTTTTTTTTTGTGAGAAATTATAGTATATAAAAGATTTTATAAACTTAAGGTAATAAGTAACCTAATTATTTTAGTTAGTTAGTAAATATTCTTAACAGTTTACATTTATTTTTCTATTTTACCCTTATTTTTAATTAATACTAACAAGCAATTGTCCAAAAGTTCAAAAACTTAAATTAAATTTCAAAAAGAATCTCAAAATCTGTACCAAATAAGTCAAAAAACACAAATCTACAAATAGGAGTCTGCTAATAACTCTGGATTAAGATCATTCTATATATGACCATCGGTAGACTCAATTAGAATTTCTATACTTAATGAAAATTATCAGAAATTCATATTGTATATGTGTCTCGATTCCACACAATCTCATTATGCATAATACATTCATTCAATATCTCATTATATTAACAGTGCGGATAACACCATTTTATTGTAAATGAGAATGACATGTATTAGTAATGTTTTAATTAAAAATTATGAACTTTAATTAAATTCATTACGAACATCGTTTTGATTATTATCCATAAATATTATCCTCTCGCATATAACACTTATATACAATATTTAAGGTCATATAAATAATCACGGAATTTTTAGTGATATTCATAAAATATTCAATAATATATGCACATAAAATAATGAATAAACTCTTTTATTAAATTAATAATAAATATCTTATTACATCGCATGCTTCTATAATACTATTCCCAACACAAACTTATTCCAATCTTTTAATAATAATAAAAGAAATATAAAAAACATGATTTTCTCTAGTGTTCACTATTTTTTGGGAACACCAATGTTCCTTGCTTATCAGTTGTCGGATCTGTATTAAATCTAGTCAAAAGTCAAATCAGATTAAAAAAATAATACAGATTCAACTACTGATAAGCAGGAAACACCGGTATTCCTAAAAAAGAAGACAAGGCCGGCTCAAACCATTTAGGGGCCTTAGTCAAACCTATTAATATCAAATAATTAACAATTAATTACATATTTACATAATATTTTTTGACAAAACATATATATATATATGTAATATTTATGTAGAATAAAATGTATTATTTATTAAGTATGGTTCTTTTTCATGTTTTAAAGTTTTTTTAGAAATAAATATATAGACTATAGATATATATACAACCGGTTCAATTGTTGTGATTATCTATGAAATATAGAAATTTGATAACGTGACATGATAAGAATCCAGTTTCATTAATTGTCATTAATTTTTTTGATCAATTTTTTAAATTTACTATAACCGTCAGATCAATATGATCTTGCCACTAAAACGATGATATCTATTAATAAGAAAATATTAGAGTAACTATTAAAACCAACCACACTCATATATATGTCGGTATCATGTGAAGTTATATGAACATAAATATATAAATATATAAAATCTGAGAGCATGAGGTGGATTTTTTTTATGGAAATTCAAATTTTCAGAGTTTAAATTTTTGTTAATAAATATCAATAATGCTCCTTTTTTTTTAAAAAAAAAATATATATATGCGAAAGAATTCCTATCGAGAGCTTGCATGTTAGAACATATACTACACGCACTTATATATATATATATATATATATATATATATATTAATTGGGAATCTGGAAGTGTGTATTGGACATATATGTACATATACTATTACATTTGTATTAATATGGAATATGGAATATGGAATATCAGAGGTCTTAAGCAAGTGCCTCACTTACCTTGCCCTTGAGCCGGCGCTAAAAGAAAAAATATGAGAGAAATTCTTATAAAAAATAAAAAATATAAGTTCAAACTAATAAATTATAACTTTAATTAATGAAAATTAATGAATATATCTTTAAAATAAGTTCCCTTTGCGGGAGACTGAACCTAAGGTCCTAAACATGCCCAATAGAAATTCACGTTGTATGGATTAACTCAAATTTAAAATCAGATTGGATCGAGTTCGATTGAGTTGGATAGATTAATTAGATCATTGACTATTACTATTGAAAATGAGAATGAGATTAAAAAAAAATGAAAAGTCAATTTTATATCGTATTTTTTTGTCGTGTAAAAGTCACTTGTTTTTTAACCCTAAAGGTCAAAAATTTTGAAAAAAAATAAAAAGTAAAAAATAAAAAATAAAAAATAAACTCGTGAAAATGACTGGCAAACTACAACTCACAAGAGAGACAGTTCAATAGCCTCATGAGTATATTCAGCCGGGGAAAAAATGTTAAAAGTATAGAAGCAATTTATCCGCCGCGTGGAAGTTATAGGGTTTTCTTACACACAATTTTTTTTCTTTTAATTTTCTTTTTTTCTTTTTGGAAGTGAAAGCTTGCAATTTTCTATGGGAACTTATACACGAAATTAATATGCTTCCAATCCACAAAATTCCAGCCCCGACCAAACCTCTCTATGCATCTGCAAGTCCACAGGAACCGGAACCCAGAAATAATAATAAAAAAATAAATAAAAGTCCACTGGTCCACTATAACTATTTATTTAAGAGCATCTCTAATAAAATATTGATGTGTTAATTATAAATTTAATATTTAAATACAAAATATACTCTCTAATATAATATTATTTATTATGTTAAATTTTTCACATGTTATGATTTGTGATAAATTTTTCACTAACTATAGCATATAGAAATTTAGTATTTTATTGTTATTAGTTAAAATGTTTACTTTCTCATGTAATCATTATAATTTTTACATTTTCTAATTATTTTAAAAATAAATGTTTACTTTTATAACTTTTAAAGTTTAATGATTATGAAAAAAAGTAAATTTACCATTTTAAATAGCATTATGCATTAGAATAAAAAATGAAAATAACATATCATATCATATTTTTTAATGTAAAATATTCAATTAACATTCACATTTACATCGGAGATGATCTAAGGCAAGTTTTACGATCCATCTTCTTTTATTATGAGTAGAAATTGTTGTTTTAAAGTCTAATGGTCTTCTTTTTAACGGTTTGATCTATTAGTGTTTACGTTAAAAATTAATAAGGAAAATAAGACAACTACTCCTTGAAAAATTTCTTTCGAGTTATGACTCGTGTAACATTTAGTTCTTGATCTTCAAAACGTAACACACGTTTCCATTGAACTATGAATTGTTAACAAAAATGCTTCTTTTAGTGTTTTTGATGGAATTGCTACAAATATTGATTATGCTAAACAGTAATATGATTCTTAAATTTATATTTTTTAAAAATAAAAATTAATTTTAATTTAATATAATAATAAGTAAAATAAAACAATAAAACAAACTGTTTAATTTTACTCTTCTAATTAATTAATAAAAAGAAAATTACTTAGAAGGTTTTAATTTTTAATTTGTAGTATTTTTTTCAAGAATGTGTAGGATTACCAAAATACCCCCAAATTATGCAATATGACCACTTTTCTGTTAGAAAATTGACAGGAGGAGCATTTTTGCTAATGATTCATAGTTTAGAGGGAGGGTGTTACGTTTTGAAGATCGGAGACAAAATGTAACACGGTTCATAATTCAGATCAGAGACAAAATGTAACACGGTTCATAATTCAGATCAGAGACAAAATGTAACACGGTTCATAATTCAAGGGAAATTTTTATAATTAATCTTACCTTTTATTTTACCATATAGTACATATAAAATATTTTAGATGTAGGAATTACAATCAGAAAAACATCCATACATTGTATACATATTTTTAAGTTGTCATGTTTGTTTGTTTTTTTTTTAAGGAAATTAAACATATTGCGTTACATAAAAAATAATATAAACACCAATTCACACTCAAACAATATTTCTGTTGTGTGGAAAAATGTGGATGACGCGTGGAAGAACAACAGTGTGACACATGGCCTTACCTTTCCTCAAAAGGCGACAACTCTCGACGCTGGGGACTCCCTTTCCTTCTGCTGCAAAAGAAGCCCAACTTAGGACGCCGACTCCTCATGACGATGACAGGTCGTACCGTCGACCTTACGACAGAAATCCTTCGAGAGAAAATCAATTGCCAAGAAAGACTAGGTTGAGCAAACAAAGACGGCAAGAGAAATGCCCCAAAAGGGGAAAGCCTGACATCG